GCGAGGAGCGTGAAGTTGATGGGCTCCGATGGTCGTGCGGTGACCTGGGGAGCGCGGCAGGCCCGATACCGCTGCCTCAGGTAGTTGCTCTGGTTGCCTCGGCTGCTTCGAACTTACCAGGGTCAAGGGGTTTGGGGATTGAAGCGGTTGGGGTGCAGGGTTGAATTGTTAGGCTTGGGGCATAGACCTTGGGGCTTAAGGTTTGGGGTCCGAGGAGTTTCGGGAATAGGGTTTTACTGTCATTCGAGATGGTAACAGAGCAGAAAGCAGCAAATCGATTTGGGTGTCAAGGTTTATGGTAGAAGTACCAGGGTTTTGGGGGTTCACGCTGGAATTTCCATTTCCGATGCGTCTTTCTGGCCTAAACAAAAACACTAACCCCAAACCCTCAACATTAACGCTCTAGGCAGAAAGCCCACACCATCAAAGCCCCTTAGCACCCCGATGCTGGTCACTGCATAGAACCTAGGCCTGCAACCGACAAGGGGGTTTTTGTTAAGGAAATCTATTTGAAGTTACCACAATAGGGATCTATNNATAGTAAATAACATGGCTTCTTTATTGTGGTAACTTAAATAAATTCCTTCACCCTAAACCCTAAACCCTCAACCCTAGTAACTAGAGCCCAGAGAACCTTACATCCCATCAAGTTGCAGCGCTCCAGATCAGGTAGAGTGGCATCGTCCCTGGTTTGGGGGATTTGAGGATATATAGCGTCGCGGGCCTGGCGTTAGGTCTCTAGGTCTAGTTTTGGGGTGCCCAGTAACCTAGGAATAACATGGGCTCCCAGTTTGGGATTAGGTGGCTTTATAAAGAACCTAAGCCCGCAAAAACGCAACAATGGACCACTGGGAGGCCTAGAGTTTAAGGCAAGGAGCACCAGGATTTGGCAGTATGTGTTTGCGTTTTGTTTTTTGTTGTTGGGAGGGGGGGCTCACTAATAAGAGAAGAAAAATAAGACATGCACCCTGAAGCCCAGTGTTGCTGTAGTAAAGTAGCAAAGTACGAACCGGATTTAGGGGCTGAAGCTGTTCCGCTTTCTCTGCCTGGTGTTGCTTTCGACTGCTGCGGAAAATGCTAGTGAGTGGTTTTGGCTGTGTTAGCTGCTGTTACACATCCAGAACAACAAATGCCCAACTTTTTCATTCTCTGCACCACACTGGAGCACTCAGGCTTAGCGCATCACCGACAGAAGGATGTTTTAACATGTGCTGCGAACATGGTCGGATAAGCGCTCACACAGTTTAGAATTTAAGCCTTGTGCTGACCCAGAGAAGCGAGTACGAGAGTCTGAGTGAGAGAGAGAGGGGTATCTAGTATGATACTGATTACACGCTGAATACAGAGCTTTACGCAGTCTGAATAATTCTCAGGATGTTATTATGGGTATATAAACCTTTGCTGAATCTAAAGGGATGGCGCTACTAGGCTGGCCCTTTTTATAGCATTTGACTATGTATTCGCCAGCGACGTGTTCTTAACGAAGTATTCGTGTTGGTGAAACATCCCTCGAACATATACAGCTGCATGAGACCTACAAACAAGCAAAAATAACAAATGTCCGAAACCACCACCTAGTCTGAGCCTCCAAGCTACATGCCAAATTAGCCACGAGTGAAGTGCGTCGAAAACAGGAAAGGCACAACCAAAAACACAGCAGAAGCAATCCCACAAGCCCCCGAAATAGCCGAAGTCGCTTTGAAACCCTCAACCCTAAACCGTAAACCCTAAACCTAAACCCCAGTTTCAGGGCCAAGGTGCATTCGGCCACCGTCGTTTGGTATCCTAGGCTGGTCATCCAAAGCCTCTGAAACATGCTCTTAACTAAGCTCGGATCCTCTGACGGCCAATAAGGGAAAATATGAAAACATCCCGAAGGCCAAACTAGCATCGATGCCCATCGGACTCTGAAGTTGGTGTCAGGAAGAATCGGAACGACGATGAGCCGCAGAGTCTCGAAGCGGAAAGGGTCAAACCCTCGGTTCTGCCGTATCCCCTGTCAGTATGGTTTAGGGTTTAGGCTTTGGGGTGGGGGGGGGGGGGGGTGCCCTTTTCCGATGATAAAAATTGAAACTAAAAGCAGCCCCCCGACACCTTCACAAAAAGAGCAAAAACGTCTATCGCTGATGGTGTCCAGAATCTGCTGACAGTCACGATAACGTCGCCTTCTTGCGAAACCTTACCACGGACTCGGAGAACCTCTGTCGTGTTGGCGCTGATGGCAAGAAGCTTCACAAGGACGTCCGTGGCCAAGGGTATGTTACGATAAAGACTGATGGCTTGGAAAGCCGCCGGCTTCCTTTCCAAGCTTTGCCTGGGCTCTAGTTAATGGACCTTATTTAAGTTGCCATATTACAAAAAGAAACCATATTATTCACTATACATCCCTATTATGGTAACTTAAGAAAACCCTAAGCCCTGAACCCTAAACCCCAAAAACCCTTAAACCCTAAACCCATAACAAGAGCCCCGTTGCTCCCGGCGCAGCTTGAGCCGGAGTTGTCCGAAAATCCCACCCTGCCAGTCCGGCAATACTGAGCCGAAGCGAGCTGTCTGGTCTTGTACTTGGACATCCAGACCGCACCTTAGGGTTTAGGGTTTAGGGTTCAGGATAGGGCTTCCATAAGGCTTCTCTAAGGTATATAGAACTGATAACATCCAGACCACACCTTACTTGGAGGCTCATGGGTAGTTATAAATGGGGCTCGAAGTCCCCTATATATACTTATAACGCTACTTAGGGGACAAATAACCCTACTTATAACTACGCATGAACCTCCAAGTACCTTACCCATAGGCCCCTAAATGGTTCCTTTTTACGGCTTCTATCTAGAATCCTATAAGGCAATCCCAAAAGGAACTACTTCGGGGCCTATGGGTACTTGCCCGATATCCTAGAGGAACGAACACGATATTAATGCCATAATACGACTAATACTACTACGACTATAACTCTACAGTAAGCACTACGAATAGAGGTCTACTAAGAGTACGACTAATAATTTAGAAAAATACGACTAAGATCCCGAAACCCGTAAAGCCCTCTAAACCCCTTAAGCCGTACTAAGACACTCTGCTCCCAAGCCGGTGGAGTTGGTCTCGCACCCGAACATTTGTGCTCGAAAGCTGCTTTGCACTTCGCTATCCGCAGTCGCCATCCCGCCACAACCTAGGTTTTGGGCCTTTCCTGAGGGTTTAGGGGTTTAGGGCTTAGGGTTTCGGGGTTTAGGGTTTAGGGATTAGGGGTTTAAGGTTTAGGGTCTATTGTTTGGGGATTTACAGTTGAGGGTTTATGTAGGGGTATATTATACTATATAAAGGCCTGAACAATTATTAGAATAGGGTTCCTTTAAAGGGTCCTTTAAAGGATTAAGATAAGGGTCGCTAGAATAAGGGATTTAGGGCAAAGGGGTCTTAGTAATCAGAATAGGGTTATATATCAGACTTTTGAGATTTTCCGGTACCCCGAAATAGCACTTACTAACCTAGGTTGGCCGTCTAAAGTAAAGAACCATAATCAAGAACCCCTAAGCCCTCAAACCCTTAAACCCTGCACCGTCGCGGTTTAGGGTCTTCGGGTCGAGGCCTCAGGGGAAAGCAAACAAAATCCTCGTAAACCCAGGCAGGAAAAAGGCCCGAAAATGTCTCAAAGGCCCACCTAGCAACCTTGACTTTCGTGCCAGGAGTAGTTGTGGTAAGCTGCAAAGCCTCGACCGCAAACAGGAGTTTCAGTAGTTGTGTAGGGTTTTGGGGTTTAGGAGTTCGGGTCTTGGGTCCAGGGTTTTGGGTGTAGGGCTGAGTGTTTCGGGTCTGCAGGGCCTTATCAGGTATGAAGCTGTAGGGCTTAGGGAAGGCAGGGCTTTAAGGTTTGAGGGTGAAGAGTTTAGATTTAGATGGTTTTAAGCTTCGAGGGTTTAGGGATTAATACTTTTGGGTTTGGGGTTCTGCGCTTCGGTGCTTGTTTAGGAAGGGTTTCCGGAGTCGTGCCAGTCTGAAGTGCCATGGCTCAGAGCAGGATCCAGAACGTATGAGAGTCTTAGGGTTTAGGGTTCAGGGTTGAAGGAAGCTGCAGCAAACCTCATCCTCCGAAGCTTCGTCTATCAATCAGTCTGACCCTGAGATGTCGTGACTACGGAAATTTGTGGGTTGAGTACTCCGGTGATCTGCGTGATCTGTGTTCTCCCTACCGGTCGTTTCCATGGTTGATGCTTTTGTGGGTTCGTGTTCGACCCCTTCGTGTGTTATGAGTCCTGAACATGTGTTGTGGCCCGACTACCTGAACCCTAGCATCTTCTGTTCGGAGTCCTGCGCCGACTATTGTCAAAAAATCTCCGGACCTACTTATAACTAGCATAGGCTTGAGGGCTACGTTTCGGTATCAACATAATATAATTATTCTGCAATCAGGCCCGGTCTACACCCACTGCAGTTTGGCAGGATCGGCGTAAGCCATAAAGGAGTAAAGCCGAACCTGCCGTGTCTCGGGTGCCAACACAACCAGGCTGCAAGATAAAAGAATAAAGACCCTTAAACCCTAAAGCCTAAATCCTAAACCCTAAACCCCAAAACCCAAAACCCCTAAATCCCTAAACCCCTAAATCCTAAACCCTAAATCCCAGAGCTCTGCGGGGGGGCATACCGTACTCTGACCCCTCAGGCCTGAATCTTCCAGGTCATCGCACGACTGATACTTGGAGGTTCGTGGGGCAGTTGTAAAGTAGGGTTATAAGTGAGGTAACTGTACTTATAACCCCTCTTAGGGGACTTACCACTGATAACTACCCAACCCTCAACCCTATACCCCAAACTCTGAGCACTAAATCCGCAACCCTAAATCAAACTCTGAGCCCTACTAAACCCTAAACCCTAAACCCTAAACCCTAAATCCCTAAACCCCAAACCCCTAAACCCCAAACAAACCCTAAATCCCTAAACCCTAAATCCCTAAACCGATACTAAACCCCTGGAACCCCAAACAAATACTGCCTGCTGAACGGAGCCCTCGTCTCTTGGAAGCGACAGCTGAGTTTCGAAACGGGAAAAGTGAAATTCCGTGCGGGGTTTAGGGCCTAGAGTCTAGGGTTGAGGGGTTTAGAGTCTATAGGGTTTGGGGTTTAGGGTTTAGGGTCTAGAGTCTAGGGTTGAGGGGTTTAGAGTCTATAGGATTCAGGGTTTGGGGTTTAGGACACCCATAATAAGGAATATACCATAATTCCCATACTTTAGGGCCCTTAAGGTAAGGCAGGATATAAATCATCAACCGTAGTTCAAGGGCTTCGTGCCAAAAGTGCAATGCTCTGCAAGGCCCCAGGGTTTAGGGTTGAGGGTTCAGGCATTTGGGACTCTTGTGAGTCATGGTTTCGATTCGCAGCTTCTGTTCGTACAAGAACCTCAACAACTGAGTCAATGTTATGTACCCTAATTCATGTAGTCTAGAACCTAGGCAATAGCATCCTGACTATAACCACCCCCCAAAAAGCCGTGGCGAATTCGAAGAACCACTTCAATGGAAAAAGAGGCAAGCAGCAGCCAGCATGGCCTTCGAAGGAGGCTAGGCAGTCCGGATCGTCCAGGCAGTCGGGTTCTGGGAGTTCGCGCTCAAAGGGGTTGGGGCTTTAGGGTTTAGGGTTTAGGGGTGTTACGGGCTCTCCAGGTTTCGACTGCAAAACTGCAAGCCCCAAAACCGTCATGCACCTCTCACTGCAGAGGTTTAGGCTTCAAGCAGCGTAACCCAAGGTAGCTGAACAAGTCCCTGCATTATGGAAAGAGCGTGAGGGTCGTTTCTAATGTTTATCTACTTGCACGACGGTTTAGGGTTTAGGGTTTAGGGTTTAGGGTCTAGGTCGTCGTAAAACATGAGCCCTTGCACCAACGGCTGAACTCAAGCCGAGCAGCTGCATTTGGAGGCATTCTGGCGCGGGTAGAAAACGGTCCACGTGGCACCTCCAGCGACGCCCTTGGCATGCAAGCGCTGCCCCAAATCCCTAAACCCAAAAACCTTAAACGCTAAAACCTTAAACCCTAGAACCCTAAGTTTAAGGTTTGAGCATTAGCGTCGGGGTGTCGGGTTTAAGGGTTGAACCCCCAAATATTAGAGCCCAAACTTCCACGTTAAACACATGGGTAGGGTAGTTCTCTAAACGAGTGTCCCTTTTGAGCTCCCCAATATGTAGTACGGCACCCTTACAAAAAGGAACCCCCCTGAGGGACCCTAATTTAGAAACTACTCACATGAAGTCCTGATGTACTGACTCCTACAGTGCACATGGGTAGTTCTCTAAAGTAGGGTCCCTGAAGTAGGGTCCTTTTTATAAGGGTGCC